AAAAAATATTAGGTAAGCATCGATATTTTGTTCATATAATGGTAAAAAGGTTTGAAGGTCTATTTACCAGCTTAGATAATATAATTTTGGCCAAAATCTTAATTGATCCGTATTTAAAAATCGACTCTGGCCCTTTAACAGCATTACTCTAGAATGATCATTGTAGGACTTACAGTATATTGAAAAAATATTTTTCTACATTTCCTTTTTTTTTAAAAATTCAAGTTCTTATATAGTGGAAATATGTGGTATATGAAAAAAGGTCTCAAATAAGAAACTATATTTTATCAATTAGTATCTAAGAGATAAAATAATATTAACCCAAAATTTTCAACCATAGGCTGAAAAATATCCAACCATTCTCAAATCCATATGTACACAACTTCTGGACTCCATAATCCTTAATCATAAACAAAATTTGGCGCCACGCCACTTTTTTCAGAATACTTGGATTATTATAACACTTTGAATGTTTTAAACTATATATTAAGTCTAAATCTGAACATGTAGTAATTTATCAAATTAAACAACAATAAAAAAAATCTATCGAAAAACTTTTAAACTCAAAAATGATCACCTAACAATATATACGGCAAGTCGTATTTTTACTACCACCAAAAGTACTTCATTATCTACAGTGCTTAATATAAAATTAATCTCACTTTACACCTCCCTAATCACATTTCTACTCAATCGGGCGTGGGCCTTTTCCCCCTATCTTTTCCCTTATCTGGTATTAAGTAAATTCTTGTGTCGACAGGTAACTACGACATGATCTTCGCACCATAGTTAATATTTCAATATTTAGCAAATTAGGTAGTTTAAGGGTAGCTTTGTAGCAATTTACAACTCAAAGAAATATAACTTTAAAGTCAAAATGATACACTTTGTAATAATATAAATAAATTTTAGTTATCGCTTTGTATTATTATTATAGATTACATTACACTTGTTTGTAGTTTTATTCACCTGTTAATTATTATTGGTTGTTTTATTATCTATAGATATATTTTTCATAAATAAAGTTTACATGGAAATTTAACAATGAATTCGTCAGTATAATTGGTACTAATGTTATTACGTGATATGTGATATAGCGCTTTTGCCCCATATTGTTGAAGGTTCAACAGAGCTAAGCTAGGGTATGTGGCGTAGCAGGGATATACCTATAGGGGGTGGGGGGTTTAAAATATTTTTTGGGGACTTTGTCCAAAAACTCCCTTTCATCCGGCCTTCGAGGTCCTTAAAAATATTATATAATACTAATTTTTCATAGTTATCTTTATATCATCTTTGTTAAAATTGACTGAGCAATTAGAATTACTAATTCCAAAATTTGCCAATATTTTGTGCTTTATTAGTGTCTAACCACGTAAGTAGAGAGCATAAATGGAAATATATTAATAAAAATATTTTGGCCAAATTTATGATTAATAGGTGACTAAAAGCATTATTTTGAAAATTTTATCAATAAATTAATTCAATCCATATAGTTTAAGAAAAAAAATTGCCTTCCCAAAACTCCCATTTTTTATGATCACTCAATATATCTTATTCTAAATTAAAAATAATTATTTTAAATATTTTTGCTTATAACAAAATTTTACAAAGAATTTCATTATATATTGTAATAATTATTAAAATACCTTAGTATAAATAACAACCCTTTATCTAATTATGTATTTATTATAATGATAATATACAATAAAATAAATTTAAAATGTACAAATTTTATACAGATTATTATATTAAAAATTTATTGTAAATAATTTCCGGTCATGGGTTACTTTATTTGAATATTTACTTATGATATGTTGTCAAAATGTAGTATCAATTTTTAAAAAGGTAAAATAAATATAGGTGAAAAATATAGAAATAGAATTTACGGGAAAGGATAGGGGATAAAAAAAAAATAGAAGCTTGGAAAATGGAAGGTTGTATTTAAAAAAAATATAATTACAATAAAATATAAGTAATTCTTGTTGCAGATAATGGTATTTAAAAAAATATAACTTGAAAATTATAATTAAAACAATTAATTATATTATCAATATATAAATAACTCTTATTTAAAAATAGTATAATATAAAAAATATATAAATATTATGACTAAGAATTTATTATAATTAACATATAAAAATTTTATGAAGAACATATTATATTATATAGCAATTTTATTATTTTTGATAAAAAGAGATCTACTTTTCTCTGAGATTTGGCTAATTATCTAGAATCAAATTTTTATCTAGAATAATCTCCTAATGGTGTTAATACATTTAAATGGTTTTCACCCGTTCTATATCTTAAATAGGCTTTTAACCTTTTCAAAGTTGAAAACCTTTCATTAGTGCATGTATTAAACGGTGAGCTAGCGAAAATAAAAAAAAACATTGTTTTGATATTAGGCAGGTAATGTAAAATGCAATTACACATGTAAACAAAACATTTTTTGGTCTCAAAGTGTACTTCTGTCAAGATTTTATACAAAAATTCGATATCACAAAGAATCTTATCATATGATCCTTAAATCATCAGAATAAAACTGAGATTTTCTTAATAACCTCTCGCGTTTCAAGTGTATTCAAAAATAAAATCTTGCTGTTTATTTGCACTAAATTAAACAATTTTTCTTTTAATTAAAAACTATAAAAAATAAATTAAAATTTTTTAAAACTATCTAATTTGTTTAACAATATAAATTATATTATTAAATTTATAATTGTTTTTCAAAAATATCTTTCGAGATATGCATATAATATTTTTTCTCCATCTTCGACTCTACTAATACTATGCCAGAAACTATTTACAATATGTCAAAATTATGACGAAAACGAAATTCCAAAAATAAAAAAAAAGCAGAGAAAAAGAAAATGCCCAACTACAAATAAAAGGATTTAGGAAATGTTATATATTTATTCAACTACTAAATCAACAAATAAATGCTTTATTGTAAAAACAAAAATAAGACGCAAATTAAAACTAAAAAGAAAACAAGAAAAGAAAATGCCCAACTAGAAATAAAAGGACCTAGGAAATGTTATATAATAAATTTATTCAACTACTAAATCAACAAATATTTCTTTATTAATAAAAATATTGATAAGTCATTTTACAAATATTAATAATCATAAGTAATTTTCATAATAAAATGGATCATATTGAAAGGATTGGTTTTTGTAAGTTCCGTAAAAAAAAATTAATGATCATTTATCAAAAAAAAATCTACAATATATAAAAATCTCTAATATTAAAATGACTGACATTTTAACTATATACAAAAAAAATAGATAAACAAAAATATACATATAAAATGATTGACGTTATACTACAAAAATGTATCATTTATGACACAATATATTTTTATAGCCCCACTCCCCTTTTTATTTAATATTTTAGTTCATATAATTTTTAATTTAAACCATATAATTATTTAAAATTAAAGGTATTACTCATTTTCACTTAACTGGAATACATAGAGCTGGGTTAAAAATTAGTAGCTCTCTACACGTTTTTCGACAGGCCGCACGTACTTGCATGCAGCGTCTACATGACAGGATTTTCACTGGATGCAAACCCCCTTCAAAAACCTTTGCCTACCCTCCTAAAAAAATCGCAGCCTGTCTCTTTATCATTATTTTCACCTATTTATTTATTGACACTCTTTTCAAAGAATTTATAAAGGATAACTTAAATTAATTTATCTCTTCTACCAACTATCGATATTTTGTGAATATAAAGAATTTATTTTTTAGATAATAAATTCAATTAAAACCTCCATTATTTACAATGAATTAATTATTATGGCATTATGAGCTTGCTAAAATATCTAAACCTTTTAAATTACATTTAAAAGGATAGTTTATTTGGAAAACAATGTGTATGATTGTTTGCAATATATAGATTTGGTCGATGAATTGTATTATAATAATACTATAATAAAAGTATTAATTTTTACAGCAATAAATTTTGTCCTATTTCATCTCAAAATTTAATAGATAACCCCCCAAATAATTTTTCCCACCCCCATTAGAGCAGCTTACCCTCTACCTTCTCAAAAAAATAGGATGCAAACTGTTGCTACCCCTCCCGCTCATGTAGACGCTGCTTGCACGTACAACAGTCCAAAGACTGACATTTAAATATATAGATTAAGATAAATAGAGTTAGTCAGCAAAGCAAAAGTCTATACTCTAGAATTGCCCAATATTTTATTACTTTATGGGATAATAGAAGGATGATTTTTTTAAATATCTATGTTTAATATGTAAATACTATTGGTGTTGATGTTAGTATTAAATTTAAAGTCTTATTTGTTGACCATCTAAAACATGTATAATTAAATAAATATAAAATTTTTAATCTTGTTATTCCATCGAAATTCCCAATTTATTTATAACATTTTAATCTTGCTGAATTCATACCTGTAGGGATTTTAAGGATCGAGTTAAGCAAGAATTTATAATATAAGTGGTGATAAATTAATGATCTTTATCCCAATTTATTAGTATATATGTATATCTTCAGTAAAAGTTAATTTTATATAAAAAACATCTGATAATTATTTCAATGATATAGTTATATATATCATTGTATTATTTCAACAAGAAAATAAATTAACTTGTACAATTATCGACACTCAAAATATTTGTTTATAGCCTCTATACAAACAGATAATATAATATTATTAATAAAAGCCCATAAAAATATAAAGTAGAATATATAAAATATTACTACAATACCTATTAATGTTTATATATAAATTCTTTAGTTTATTTTAAGAAATTTAAATATCATTCTTTCATATTTTACAAATCTATGCAGAAACGTAAAATTTATTTTATAATGCAATTATGCTTAATATCTTCATAATATTTATATTAAACAACTATTTCTATAACTCAACTGTATTTCAAGTATTATTTTAAAATGAAGATATAGAAGTTATGAATAAATATAACAACACTAATCTCTTTTCAAGAGTAAAAGATGTAAATTCTACACCGTTATTTAGATGTATGGTAGAATACATATATACAATAGAACCTTTTAACTCGTTGTCTATACACTCGTGTAATGCAAATAAGGATACTATTGATTTATGTAATAATGATTCAATTACAGAAAATGTGAAAAGTTCTCATAAAATAAACACCACAATTTTAGGTAAATCAATTAAAAAGTTATCACAAAATGTAATTATGAATTACAAAATCACAAATATGTGTATTCCAGTATCAAATATGTCAGATTTAGATATTTCTAAAATTATTCAAGATACCATCCCCGAATTTGCCTTTAATCCAGCCATTCTAACAAATCAGATTCATAACATATCCTTAGATTTACTGACCTCAAACAAATCAAATTTTCCTCAATATCATACATTTACAATTACAGATTCAGATGGCTACTTTTTGTTTGGATTTGTTAGAAATATATTGCTTCACAAAGTTGTTGAAAAAAAATCGAAATCCTTGAGTTATATAAAATGCCTTGTGTTATTAAGTCATAAACCTTGGCATAAATCATTTTATTTATTACTTGATCATTTAGGATATTTATCAACACTTTCAGAGTCTTCCCACAAACCTCAATTTTGCTCAGAAAATATCAATAAATTCTTAGATATTTTATACCATAAATACCCAGAAAATAAATTCAAATTTTGTTTTGATAACAAAAATGTTGATGAATATCATGTGGATATAGTTAATAATTTTTATAGATTGCATTGTCCTTCACATAGTCGAGTTACATTGATTGATTTTCCTTTAGAATCAAGAGATTATAAATGTGATAATAATATCTGTGATAGTCCTTTTTATGTAAACCTTGCCTTCCCATCTATACCAGGTATACCATACCAATTTATTTATTTTTCCAAAATTCAATTATTAACTATATTTATATATATATTAATCAAACCAATCATGATACTATATTGAAATAAAATATTTAAAGAACATTCTTAAAGGTGCCAATAGCTAATATTATAACTTACTATTAAAAATATTTCATGTATGAAAAACAAACTTAAAATTATATAAAATTATTTTTTTTTTTGGCCTGCTGGCATGTAACCCAAATTTTAAATCATTAACCTGCAAAGAGCATAATTTTAAGGCCCACTTAAAAATGTTTAAACTAGCTTAAGATTATTTTGAAAATTTTTTTAGCATGGCAGGGATTTTTAATTTCAAATTTATATAATATGTTTCAATTTTATATTTCATAATAAATTTTTAGATACAGATACATTATTTAAAATGTATTAAGATATAGATATTTTGATAAAAGTAACTATGAGAGATACAATTTTAACATATTTATGTAAGATGTGTACAATGCATAATTTAGGATATTATTAAAATTCAAATTTTCAAAGTGAGCTAAAAAGTTTATAGAGCTAATATGCCTTATATCAGAGGTATTCATGGGCCTCAACTTTTTGACCAAGCTCACCCCAGGCTAACACTAAAAAAAATTTAGGCCCAGCCTGGCCCATATAATATTAGAAAAAATTCCCAAGTCTGGCCCAAACCCATAATAAGTTTCAAAAAAAATTTCCCAAGCTCGGGTTAAGCCCATATCCAAATTTATTTTTTTTATATTATGAAAATAAACAAAATTTAAGTATATTTAGGCGAACATTTTGTTTACAATACTGAAATTTATTATTATTAGAATAAAAAAATGGCAATATTTCTTTAAGTTAGCAACTATTTTTAATAAGTTAAATTTAATAATTTTTGGCCCAAGCTCATTAAAATAAAAATTTTAAAAATCCAGGCCCTCTAGAAAATATGATATAAGGCCATACCTGGTCCATGAAAGGTCTCTGATCTATATACCAATACAAAATTAAATTATGATTTTTTGATTTTAAATTGTACAAAATATGTAATTATTAGATTTTAATAATAAAACATTCTCAAAATTTTGATCATTAAGGGACCTATATTCATTTGTAAATTTTTAACCACACCCAAACTCTTTCTACCACCACAATATGACATAGTGGTTGCTATATCTAGTGTTGTTAAACGGCTCATTTTGAGCTGATTTTTAAAAACGGCTAACTCAATATTTTGTACAGAATAGTATTACGCAAGCCTGAAGATTTTGTTTATAGAAGGAACAAAGGTTTGGACATCTATTAGCGAAATCTCGAGGCTTAGAAAATATTTTACTGGCTAAAATATTGAATTAGCCGTTTTAAAAAATTGGCTCAGCCATTTAACAACACTAGCTATATCCAATGAATAATAACTTTATATTGGTGTAATCATAAAATATATTAAAATCCCATCACTCATTTTTAAAAAAATCATTCAATATTATTTTTAATATTAAAAAAAGTTTTAGATACTTTAACAATTCTGGTGTTGTACAAGACCATAAACCAGGGAATTAGGGGAAATGTAAATCCTTGGCAGTACATTTATCATCAGTTTAACATTGTACATAAAATACTAAATTTAAATAAATCAATTATTGTAAATAATTAAATTCAGGTAATATATTTAATTTAAAGAAGAAGGATTCGATTTTTCTAATGGCATGTATACTGTGCAAAACAAATTATAAATAATATACAAAAATTCCACAGGAAGATGGGGGGGGCACTCTATAGTTGCACATTATATTTTGGTTTTGGAGACACCTTATATAATGCATATCAAAAATGATGAAATCATCAAGATGGGTTCTACTATTTGTTTCTTATTATTATATTTATTGTGGTTTATAATAAAATAATTACTCCCCCCCCCCTCTCCTCTAAATAAATAAAAAAATTTTACTTTTGTAAATATCATTTTAAGCCAATAAAAAATTATCTCTCCCCTCAATAAATACACATTAATTTTTTTTAAAATGGAATATAATTATGACAAGAATGGCTATAATTAAAATTCAGAAAATAATTTTAAAAAATAAGTCTAAAATTATTAAATTAAAAAAATATATATTAAAGGCATTCAAAAATAGGGTCTGATGTTACCCAATAGAATCTATGGAGGGGAGGGGGAAGCAACACAAAATTTTTCCCCTTTAAGAAAAATCGGTATAATTTAGAACTTATTGAAATTAGGGCAAATGTAGATGAAGTATTTCATAAATAATATGCCATTTTTGAGTCAAAAGCAGAGATATAAGAATTTAATATTTATTTGTGTCGACGACTCAGCAAGGCAAGCCCATCGTTCCAATATTAATATAGGGTATAGTCAGTCGAAGAAAATAAATCTCTTTATCACCTTCTTGGACACTTTAACTCAAATGAGGCTCTTGATTAATTAGGCAGCACTTATAAATCTGAAAATATTATTACCTCAGAATTCATCTAAATCTATTCAAATTTTGATATATTATATTTGGCATTTTTATTACTAGTAAAGTATCCTATGATGCATTACTAGTTTAATGCAAACTATGGTATAAAAGTTTAAATATGGTTGATACAAAAAAAATGATATTTATGCTTATCATAATTTCTAGACTATTTCTCTAATATATAAAATTTATTATATATTTTGGCAACACCCATTTGTACTTCTACCAATAAAAAAATATATTTTCTTCTTTAACGAGAATAAAGACATACCTGAGATGTAATATTATTAAATGGCTCTATTTGAGCCGATTTTTAAAAATGGCTAACTCAATATTTTAGCCAGAAAGATGTTGCAAGATTGAATTTTACGTTATGTCTTAGTTATATTTTTCCCCATTGGTTAATACACCATATTATTTTTCTTGAATAACTTTATAAGTTTATTTACATGCAATAATTCTTAAGAATATATATTTTTAAAATTAATCTATATTTTCAACATTTTTACAAAGTTCTTTTTCAAGGCTTCTATTTTATATTGATTTTGAGATTCATACACCGATTATATACATTTAATATTTTATCATTAGTTTATATTTTGTGGAATATAACTTGTCAATATTCTTATAGTCAGCCACTCCTAATAAATTTCTAAAACTTATGATATTCTTAAATGAGTCCTATAAGAATTCTAAAAATATTCCACCCCCAATTCCCGCTTACGCGTCTGTTAGCGGTAGATGGCTAGATTGATTACCTTCATTCTTTGGATAAGATTAAAAAAACACATCTTCAAAAATAAAATGCTTAAACACAAAGATATGAAATTTAATAAAATTATAATATAAGGCAATAAAAAATCACGAAAATTAATAATAAATTTTTTTTTAAAATAACAATAAGAAATTTTATATCTCTAAATTGTATTCTATCTTTTATAAATGTATAATAATACCAATATAATATTATAAATATTTATAATATCTTAGCGATTTCAAATTTATTCTTTAGTTAACTTATAAAATAATAATTAAATACGGTTTTTATTTGCATTTTCCTATTTTTTTATTGATACAGGGGCATGTATTAATTATGTAATTACGTAATTCATCATATTTATAAATATTAACTATGTCGTATATCGTATTTATTTCGCTCTCGGCTTTTTTTTTAATATTAAAATAAATAAATACCCAACCTTATCTTACTGTCATCACCGCGTGACGTTAACTAAGCACAAATATTATAATATAAAATTTATAAGAAAGTAGGATTTAAGATAAGATTTCGGGAAAATGAGAATCAATTAAATTAATACTGATGTTTTATTTATTTGTCGTTGATGAAATGGTAGCACTAAAAATTAGTGGAATTTAGGCTTGAGGATAAGCCTGGCTCATTTATTCCACTACTCACTCCACTACGTCTTCAAAATCTTTTTTAAACGTTATCTGTATTATACATAGCCTTAAAGAATGAAAAAAAAATAAAAAAAAATTTATAAAGGTATATCCTTTATTTCATAAATTATTCACAATATAAATGAATATCGCGTATGAGTATGAATTTGAATATGTAATGCGCATTAAACTTTTTTTTATAAGTCAAGGAATCTTTATTTTAAAATCAAACATGCCTCGCCTCCACTTTTGAACCAAATTAATTATAATTTTTATTTTTAGAGAGCATCATAATGACTGACCTATACAAATACCTTTCGATTTCTTCCATGATTTCCTATTGGACCAACTTGCTGCGCGAAAATAGAATAATATTAGTTTCCGATCATTTGGACAGGATATCTCACTGCGCGTTTGCCGGCATAACTCTTCTATACCCGATGTATTGGCAACACGTGTTTATACCAGTGCTTCCGGCCTCCATGCTGGAAATCCTAAATGCTCCTATGCCTTATTTAATAGGTTAATTTATTTTTCCTTTTTCTCTCGGTTCAAGCCTAAATTATATCGACCTTTTCCTTATTAAAAAAAAATTATCACCTCTTCACATTACCTAAATTCACGGTTATCATCTCAAATCAATACTTTTATAGAAAAATAGATGTTATAATAATCATCATTTAATAAATAAAATAGCTTTTCTCGTATATATAATTTTGAGAGTTTTAGTAACCTACTAACTATTATTATTTTACTTTTATTTTAACTTTGCAATTTACATTAAAACGATATAAATATTATTTTTTTTTAGTTTTTGTTTTAACGAATAAAAATGAAGTTTTATCACTATGGGATTAACCTAGTTACTATATAAATAAAAATAACATAAAATATTTTTTTTCAAAATATATGAAAATATAAAATATCCTGTTCTAAAAGCAAGGAACATGGAACTGAACTCGAGCCAAAATAATAGAACGGAAACGACGGGATTATTATTGAAGAACTTTCCAGAACATTCCAAAAAAGATGGAGAGAACCATTTTTTTTTCGAACACGAATCGAGTGACTAGATAAACTCAAAATATCAATTAAACCGAATATTCGCTCCCGTAATAATTTTAATCAAACAAAATCGCTTAATTTAATAATTTGTTTATTATATATAAAAAAAATGATTTCCTTATAATTTTTTTCTTGTATAGTCGCTAACATCAATGTTTATTTAGCCTACATTCGCCTTAATATAATATAACTAATTACTTTTCTATTTAAAGCCAATTAATGCCTAATTGCATCATATTTCATATATATATATATAGTTACGATATAAGATGAAGGAAAAGGAGAATAGATTGTTTTCATAAACATTATAAAAATAAATATAAAAGTACATGAGTCATCCCAATCCAAACCGAACCACGTTTGCACTATTTTTCAAATATTAATTAGTAAATAAAAATTATATATTTGCCCTAGGCCATTTCCAAGCAGAATGTTTTTTTTTTCAATGAGGGTTTTTGAGACTTATAATATAATATTTGATTTTTATAAAGACGCCATTTAATCGTTAATAAAAATCAAAGTTAGGATATGGCCATAGGCGTTTTTTTTAAGGCGTTCATGGTTGTTTATCACGAAAGAGAATAGATATGTATTTTTTCCCCTCTCAATTTTTTTTTGTTTTAGGCATGTCACGCCCCCTTTTCGATTCCTGCAAACTTTCCCGCCATCTTACTCCCGCTATCTCTTCCAACGGATTTCCTCCACCCGATAACAACGTCTCCTCTACTACATTTTCCGATCAAGTTATAACTATATTCGACCTGGACAAATGCCTCATATACACCTACACAGACTCATCATCTTTCCTACCTAATAGCATCAGCTCTAACACTTCTAGCAACATTTTTACGTCCACTAGGGATAGCGAACGACGATCCCCAAAAACTGGTAAAAACAATAATAACGGAGCTAAGTTTTTTAACCCCTCCACTGAAACTTACTCCTCTTCGCTGTTGAACGGTGCATCTAACGCGGCCGACGACGATGTCGGCAATAATAACGGGTCACTGCTACCGAATTACTTAGTGACGGAATTGAAAGAAAAACTAACCCAGTTTGAAGGTTATTTTTTTTAAAAAATACATTTTGAATTTATTGGCATCAAATAAAAAATAACGAGAAAAAAAAACAATGCCAAGCACTTAAAACAAAAAGAAAATATGTTGTGCTATTTCAATAGCTAATTAAGTCGCGGGAGCAGGATATCGCATAAACGCTTAAATTATTAACCCTACTCATGTTTTTATTTTGCACATATTTTTTTTTAAAAAATAAATGAAACTTCATAATAATATTACTTGAATTAAAACTTTTTATAAATCTAAGGCTAAGGACATACTAGAGAGCTCTAGCGTTTGAAAAAAGATCCTTTAGAGAGGACATTATGTAAAAAATTATCGTTATAAATTACACGATAGTTATAAATAGTCAAATATATTATAAATAAATATACAATACATTTTATCATCATCAAATTTTTGAAATTGACACTGTAACTCTACCTACCGAGAAGGGTTTAACTCTGTTAGCGGCTTTATGAGCGAGGTTTTTGTAAAAAAATTTAAAAATCATATTTCAGCATGTTAAAAACACCTACCCTGTGGATTTCACACAATTTCCCATTAATTTTTGAGTCATATATAATATATAATTTTTTTAAAAAACGCGTTCTTAAGAGTAGACGATAAAAATTGGATGTGGAAAACGCTACGAAATATTCAAAATTTTGGAAATGATATTTTGCAACGCTCGATTTTTTTTTTAAAAAAAAGTTATAGTTTTGATGGAGCAACTCTTCTGTCAAACGATCTTATATTTATAAAAAAAAATATTAATTTTTTAAGGTCTTTGTCGCGAAGCGTCACCCGATACCGTAGGACCTTGCAAGATTCCCATCGCTTTCATATTTTTTCGTACTCTCCTTGACTTGATAGGCAATTACCGAGCCGGTCTCAATTTCGACCCAGGTCAAGTTATAACGTTCAACCCTAAAAACTTCGTTAAAACTGCCAGGGCCAGTTTAAGACCTTGCCTCGAAGAAATCGTCAAGAGCCAGATGTTTCAACAAGTAAAATAAATTAAACACCGAAAAGGACACGAAATTTAAGATGAAAATGTGATTTTGCTATTATAACTCTTGACAAATTTTACGATGATTAATTTATTATTATGCTAGTTATCATATCAAATTAAATTTATTAGCTACCACTCTAAATCCCATATAAATTGTTGGTAAATAGACAAATCCAATTCAATAAAATAAAAACTTATTCTAGAGGGATATTGAGAAAATTAATTGTAGTGGATTTTTACAATTTTAAAGTTATTGATTTTATCGGAGGTGGTACCAATACAGATTACCATTAAGTCTATGAATTTATATATATAAATCATCTGAAAATATGTTTAGCCTAGTGTTTATCTTTAATCAATTATAAAACAGCGTAGCCATCTTTTTATCCAGAAATATTCTAGTCTATCTTCAAGTTGAGACTCAGCTTAGAAGCTTAATTCAATATTTTAGTCTTAAGGCTTGACTAAGAGACACAATAGAGTGGATCTAAGTTAGGTATTTTAACAACAATAGTTTAGGCATCAGCGGTACCTGCAGATAATGTAATTTTTTTTTTCAATTATAGTTTATTACAGAACGATTGCATTTACTCAATGGAGGCCTAGGCTTTAACGACGCCTTCGAAAGGGCAATCAATGAAAATTCCTTGCAAGTCGGTAACACGAATAGCGCCACACAGTTACAAAAATACGTCAATTACATGAAAGTTTAAACACAAACCTTACCATTTTTTATTTATTATTGAGTTTTAAATCAATCCAGGAATTTTGAAAAATAGGGATTGTTATCCAATTAAATTCCCCCGCATGCAATTAACAAAACGCGCTAATATGCGTTTGTAAAAAGCGAATATTTGCTAAGTCACTCATGCCGTATTATATTGTTTACAAATTTGCCAAAATAAAATACGAAAATATGCGCACTTTTAATTGCTTAGCGAAGACACTATGACTTATTTTTGGAATAAAAACTTGGCACAATATATATTCGTATCTTTTAACATATCGATGCCAATCATTTTCCAAGTGGGCCGTATTTACGGTTAAAATAATACTAAAGAAAGTCTATCTAATTTCTCTTTTCTACTAAATATTACAAAATAGACATTTCATGTTTTTTTTTAAATATTTTTTTGTTAATTTAAAAAATGTAATTTTTTTTTACCAATTGGCTGACCTGGTAGTCTGAATTGTTTCATAAATTATATGTTGATTTTAATAAAAAAAAGTAGTCAGTTTTTTAAATTATAATATATAAGCAAAATTATCTGTGCATGTGTTATGATGACATGCAATCTAATTATCTTATATATTTTTTTTTTACAAACTCTAAGATACGTTTAAACCTAATTTAAATATATTTTAAAAAAAATGTATTTAAAAGGTGGAATCAAATTCGATATAATAATAATATTATCTTTTTTCCTAGGGATCGTTTTGATACTATTTATTAAATGAAAACCTTTTTCAATTTTTCAGAAACCTTTCGACCCAGAGCGTGGCCCGGGTAACCGGCCGGGAACTGACGAATAAATGGTGTGATTTTATAAATCCGGGCGGGGAAATTTAAAAAAATGACAAATCTGGAAATTCGTTAAAATAAATTCTTATTAATTAGTTTAAAAATTACACTAACCAAGTGTAAAAAACCTATAATCAAAATAAAATCTATTTGACCTCAGCAGGTCTTTGACGTTTCGAGAAAAATTCAAAAATTTTCTCCAAATTACTAAGATCACATTTATTGTTAGTAAATTTCGGGTGGTAAGCTTCTTCAGTATCTCTTACCATTTTATGTTATTCCTATAATTAGTCTTATTTAATTTTACTTTACAGGGCCCATTAAAGTTTTGGCTTGCCTTTTTGCCGTTTATCCATCACTTTTACTCACCTTATGCCTATACCATCTTAGTCCATTTACGATGATTTTTATGGGTACTATTTTTAAACTTCCCAGTATATTCCATGGAATTCCTAGTTGGCCTATGATAGAACAGCTGTCACTATTGTGAACAAGACTCTTTGGTTATCGGAAAGTCTGATGGTGAGGATGTACCACTTGTGCTTTAAATTGTAGTATGGTTCTTATTCTTATGTATGATTCGAATATTTATTTTTTTAATGATCTTTTTGCCGTATAAGGTCCACCAGATAAGTTTTTTCGGAGTTATATCTAAAGCCTTCTCTAGATCGAGAGAATGACCAAATGTCGCTTCTTTTTCTCTTAATATTTTTCACTCATTTGTTTAATTGCTTGGATGACATCAGTTGCTGATTTTCCAGGCATTTAGCCTAACTGAGTCTCTCCTATTTCGAATGTTTCTTTTAGCCTTTTTTATATTTTTTCTTAGAGTTTTAGACAATGGGATATTAGTTGTATGCCTGTTATTTTGGAAATCATTTGGATTATCTTTATTTTTGAAGATAGGAACTAGAAACAATTGAATTAGTGATCTTAGCAGTTATTTTAATATCAATTTTTTGGACTCTTTGTAAAAAAAACTTAAAACTGTCGTCACAGTCACAAGGAAACAATGTCGAGATCATTGTATGGTATTCTCATATACCCACAGTCACGTGGCTATCATGCTATTAAAATAGTGACTCGTTTAATCGTACCTTCATCATGTTTATGGTAAGAAGTTTTTAAACGAAGCCCATCATTAGCCTTTAATAATTTTAGTCACGTGGCGTCCCCTAATTCTCATTCCTCTTTAAACCTCGCTTGAAAATTTAAATTCTTATTTCTATGTTTAAATAAGTTATAAATATAATTTTTTTTATTTTTAATGTGAAGGGCGAAGGCGATTTTTACCTGACCGTTCTTAAACGCAAGACCAGCCAAGTTCTAGAAAAGGAGTTTTTCCTAAAGCGAGCCGCTAAATTGCTGACTTCCAAACTGGCGAACCCTAGCCACCCTTTCCTAGGTCATAATTCTAATAACCTCAACAAAAATATCGATGCCGATGACCCTCTTAATAATGGGTCGGGACATTTTTACGACGTATCTCCTCCCTTTGATAGTAGCGATAGCGATGGAAAGAATAGTAATAACAAAAGCAAGCATTTAAATGGCCATTTTTCGTCCTGCGAACGTCAATCATCCCTTTTCTCAGAAAACGCTTCCCCACATGCTTCCAATTTTTACCTGAACGAATCTTCGGGTGCCATTCGAAGATTTGATCCTGAGAAGATTCTCATGAATAAAAAGATGGTTCTTAACGATGATTCCGGTTATGCAACTAGCGGTGCTCCTAACGTATGTATAAAATCCTAATTTATTCACATATTATTAAAATTTTAGGGGTAAAAAAACTGAAAAAAATATTCAAAAGAGGATGATTTTTAAGATAAATATGATTGCATTCTGCCATTTATTATCATAATCACAAAACCTTCTTTTAAAAATTTCTTAAATTAATAGAGCCTAAATGGTACTATGAACGGGGCTTCAATATCCTTCGAAAACGATTTCAACCCCGAAATATCCTCTTCCTATCCTGACAATCACAGCTCCGCATTTAAATTATCCAATGGATACATTAAGAATAAAAAAATGTATCTCCCCCAAAATTTGCCATTTTCTGTCGACGTTGGAGCAACAACCAAAGAACGCAGTTTGATAGACTTAGATTGCGAAATCGAAGGTCCGGGTCACTTTGCCTTGCTAGAACAAAATCTTTTGGGTTACTCGCTAGCAGATAAAGTTTCTGACATGAATCACATTCAAAATATAAAACGCCAGTCTCATTCTTCAACAGGAGGAAGGCAATGGGAAAAATTTGAATGAGGATTTCGCTTGTCTAATACTTTTTGTAATGTATTTAGATTCGTAGGTGTCACATGGTTATATTCAATATAAGGTTGTGTTTGAGTATAGATTTAGTTTTAATAGATTTTATTATGTTTGATAGGTATACCTTGTTTAACTTCAAATTTATTATGTTAAGATTTAAGAACAAAAAATGATTTTTTTAGCAATAATCACACCATATCAAATAATTATTTTATTAAATTTTTTTTTAGATTTATTGTAATATAAAAATCAAAAGAAAATATATTCCATTATATATTTAGAATATATCATAATATAACAAACGTTTATTCATAATATTTAATATATTATATTTTTTGATTATAAATTATATACACACATTGTGTTTAAGAAAGAATTAAAAATATGCAATGATGATAATTTTTTTTAAATTTGACCAATCCTTTCTAAAATTATATTTAATTTCCCTTAATTTATAAATAATATGCATAACATCCTTTAAAAATAAGAGTAAGAAACAACGTTAAATTATATGTAATACGATAGATGTATAATATAATATACATCAAATATCATGATATTTTTTTTATGTACATATATATATAAATATATTATAGCTATATATATATTTTTTTATAAATAAATGCCATAAATTTCTTCTAAAAAAAATTTAGTATAAATTATAGTGTTGTTGAACGGGATCCATTTATCCGATTTTTTAAAAACCACAAAATCAAAATATTAGTTAAAATGTTATTACCCATGCAGATGTCCAGACCTTTCTATCATCTATGGGTAAAATTTCTAAGCTTGGGTAATTTGCCTTTGGCTATAATCTGAAATAACCGTTTTTAAATTGGCGCATTTGATGTATTAAACATAAAGTGATTTTACAGCGCTGTAAAGAAGCATTCGTTACTATTTTTGAATTAGTGACATTTTTCAAATTATGCAAAAACTTAAATATAATTGCCTGAAAATTTTGTTTAATTTTCCTATAATTATTTTATTGGTTGGTTCTTTATTTTATTTTAATATTCTTACTTAAACTTGTAAAATATTTATTATGAAATAAAAAAAAATGATTTTTTTTAATGAATAGAAATTGTTTAACTAATTTCGCCCGAAAAGTATTGCAAATTCGCCCACCCCCATTGTTTTAGAAGCCCGCTCACACGCCCATTATTTAAAATATTTTAACCCACACATTGCATACCTCCTAATTATTACGACAAATATACATGAAATATAATAAATACTAACATATAATGATCAAACTGATACTTGCCTTTTAGAAAATATTAAAGTACTATAAAAATTTATGAAAGATCTGTAGATTACTAATTTTTTAAATTATGAATTAATGATTTTAGCCTTTAAATTTTTTAAAATAGTATCAAAGGTAAAATAAACCAGAAATAGCTAACATATAGTAAAAAAAAAATCAGTTAGCTAATAGTAATAAATCTAAGCACAACAATGAGATTCGTTTATATTTGCGCCATTCAAATGATTAATATTGGATAAACTATTCATTAAAGAAAGATAATAATACTAGTATTGATAAGGGTTCTTGATGGGAAGAATGGAGAATTGAATATATGGCATGGAAATGAACTTAGAAACATTTAAGTTCCATTCAACAAAATTTCCATTTGCGAGAATTCATATAAATAATTTTTTTAAAAATCAAATTTATAATTTTAGACACAAAATCATGAATTAAATTGTGATTTTATTTTTTTATCTTTTGGTTATTAACAAGGGTAAAGGTTAGCAATATTATCGATAAAAAAATAATATTATTGATTAATATCTCACTAATTATAAAAAACTTAGGCTATATCCTAGGTCGCCTATATACTTAATACTTAATAGCCGGCTATTTAGCCGTCTTTTAGTAGCAGCTAAATGACAAAAGAAATTTTTTTTAAAAAAAAATGAAAATAAAATGATTAAAAATAGGAAAAATATTAATGTCACCAAATATTTAAATAATAAACTAAAATATGGTGTCCTCGATCAAATATTTTTTTGCTCATTTTTGTATTATTTAAAATTTACCTTGAAATTTAAAAACCCAAATATATACTATGGGTTTTAATTTTGTAATCAATGATTAAACAAAATCCTATTTTATTAGTGGATGTATAAAAATTAATATTATTTTATGCAATAATTTTAGACGAAACATAATATTGATAAATTGTGGGTTTTATATGCTAAAAGGAAAGTTTGATATTGCATATATCAATTAAAATTATAGTATATAATGTATCCGTTAGATATGTAAATAATGTAACCTTTAAAAAAAGTTATTTCGTACTTTTCTATTTATATATGTAAAAACTTTAAATTAGCTTAAATTATTCTTTTCTTAAATTGACATTAAAATAAATCTAATTTTATAAAATCCTTCTTTTGTATATATGTAAATATTTATAAAAATAATAATATATATAGTATGGAAATTGTAAAGATATAGGATGTATAAATTATTTTAGAAAAATAAAGTCTTTACAATATTGTTTTTCACAATAAATTTTATCATTAATTTTCTCTGCCTTCTGTGTTTTATCAATATCTTAAGAAATTAGGATTTTTAAATAATAAACATAAAACCATTATAAATAATAAATGTAATATAAATTAATAATAATATTTCATTATGATATATTTATAATAGATCGTTGAAAAATATAATTTAAAAATCGGTTTGACTAAATTACAAATGCCAAGGTAAACTGCAAATGCTTAGGTAAAATTTTTTCATATATTCTCTCTTGAATGGAGCGAGGTTTATTTTCTTATACAATAAATAACTTATAAAAAATTATATTCTTAGACATATTCAATAATAAATGAATAGACTTTAATAGTTGTATTTCCTTTTATCTCTTAATAAAGAGTTTAAATCCTGTTAGATTTAGGCGTAATTCATTTTTATAAATACGCAATAATTTGATTATGAATTATATTATTATATAATGAGTTGGTTTGTGAATATGTTATCGACGGTTGTATAAATTGAATATGAATTATATGATTATATAATTACTTGGGTTGTGAATATGTTATAGACGATTGTAAAGTATTAATACTTGAATATTCAGTTTTGAAATTTATTATTTTATGAACTTTAATATACTTGTAATTTTTTTTGCATATTAAAATAATATACATAGATGGGAAAAAATTTCTAAATAAAAACTTTTTTTTCTTGTTTTGTAAAATTTGATTGTGGAAACTTCAGGAGATTAATAGCGTGGTAAATCGGTTAGTGAAAAAAAGACTTGTAAGAATTATTAGCAAATTAATTAATTATATTAATCTTCCTTTTATTATTAATACTGTCGTAGTTTTATATATATATATATATTCATATTACGTAATGCCAATCAACCGATTTAAATAAGGTTGATTGGATTATAATTAGAATTACCATTGAAGAACACGTGATAAAAATATTATTTTATTCTTTCGTGTTCAAATATAATTGTAAAAAAAAGAAGTATATTATTAAAAATTATGGATTTTTTTCGTATTGTAAAATTATTAGATCTGTATAAAAGATTAATATAAAAAACATCGTATTTTTCTAAAATATCTATTCTGTAATTGTTGGAATGGATTCTTCTAATTTATTTTAGTTAGTTTTTCTTAAATTGTAATTTGAGTTTAGGAAGGGTTGAAAGTAAGGGGATATATTTTCATAGTTTTTTTTACAGTGGTGCTCGTGACACGGATCAGAAGGTTTGGAGTGATTCGGTTGTAAAGGTAAAACAAAATTTTTGTTGATATATATTTTTTATCTGATAAATTTTTGACAACGCATAAGTACTAACTCTAGATACGTATTTTATTGTGAATTTTTTTTTGTAATATCCATATATTCTTATTTTATATAAGCATTTTTGTTTAATTTGAATTAATTGGGCGGTGATCTTAATTAAAAATTTATGAGCAAATGGGTTATTTTTTTAGGCATGGTGGGGAGCACAGTTTTAGTGATAAGGTTCTCTATTATAAGGATTTGGGTTATAAAGTTTTGTATAAGAACTTTAATGAATTGGATTTAGGTAGACAGTTGTTTACTGTTGGGATATTGGTAATTATGTATTTAGTACTGCGGTACTGGCAGAAATGTATTGTAATTTTAAAAAGGACACTCCGGTGTTGGCTGATTATGTTAAAAAAGTAGCAGACGGAAAGTAGTCTAAAAGATGTTTTAGATGAAATTAAGGCTGGGAATGGTTTGGAGAGGTCCGGCAAGATCCTCCAAGAAGTGAAAGAGATGAAAGAAGTCATCATTGCGTTGATGAGGTTGAGCAGAAATTCCGTGAAGTGCCATACATGTAAACAAAATAATAATAATGGTAAAAATAGTTACAAGGAAAATAATGGAGTGTCAGTAAATAAAAAATTTGAGGAGATTACCATTTGCAACCGTTGTGGTTCGAGGGGACACAAAAGGGATGCTTGTGTGGTCCAGGTTTTAAGAGGGATTTCCGTTAAAAAGATCTGAGATATGAAATGCTAATGTAAAGATGGTCAGTATGAACGGGGCTAGATAATTTTTTAGGTGTAAAAGGCCGGGACATGTGGCCGTGGACTGCATGGAAATATCTCAATTGTGTTGACTATATGATTGCAGAGTGAATCATATAGGAGAGGGGCTCCGAGAGATCGGAATTTTTTTTATAACAAAACATTTGATATTGTTAGTCGTGATAATGGGAGTGATAAAATAAAAATAAGTCATCCTCGTAATCCTCATGGAAGGGAGGGTAATCAGTTCAAGTGGGAACAGTATCCGAGGAATATTGTCCGTTATTCCCTTAGAAGGGATGTCAGGAATTTTAGTTGGGAAAAATGTCCCACAAATCTTGTTAAAAGAAATGTAGTTGTCAGTAGTAAGCTTTTAAATTCCGAATTGGATTTAAGGGACAATGTGAATTCTAATGAAATTGTTATTTCCGATGGAATAAACACTGACTCTCTGATTAAAACATAGGATATTTTAATGACGGAGAGAGTAAATGGATCATGTACGTGTCCGAGGGTTAATTTGGAAGTTGACCATAGGAATATAGAGGTGTTGTTTGACACCGGGGCTAGTATTTTTTTGATGTCCCAGGAGAATTTTTATAGGTATTGGCCTGGGGGTAGACTGGAAAACTATGTGCGTCAGGCAGTTTGATGGG